TCCTAGTAAGAGAATGATAAAACACACCATGAGCCTCTTTCATTCATAGTTTCATACTAAGAACTCAAAACTTCAAAAGGAACTCGCACATCTGAGCTATCTTTGTTGCAAGTGCACGGTAACAGAAGAAACCCGCACACTGCTCTTGATAGCATCACTGCTCTTGATAGCATTACTGCTCTTGATAGTATCACTGCTCTTGATAGTATCCCTGCTCTTGATAGTATCCCTGCTCTTGATAGTATCACTGCTCTTTAATAAGCTTTACGTATCGGCCTCAAGACCTTCGTCCGAGCTTTTGTGAGTCACTAAGCAAGTTTTCATAAATCATTGGGTACAGCGCAAGAAAAGAGTAATCTGAAATATGGAAATTAGTTCATATTCACATTTACAACATAACATTTCATCATTAAGACTTTTTTTTCTTATTTTCTTTTCTCTCATACTAAGAACTACAAAAAATATAAAATTGGCAAAATAAGTCTGTAGTATGTAAAGGAAATAGGAAACCCAGAGGGTGCTGTTTAGATTGTATGAGGCATTATAATCCTGAGCGTGTACTGTTAGAAAACAACGTCCATGTTATATAGTCCCAGGGTCAACCACCAAAAAAAGGCTTCATAAAAAGGCAATCCGTGACCTAGGAAACAAAACCGCAAAGTTTCAACATCATTACATATACCTATTCTCTGAACTATGAACACTGTGTGGTTTCAACACTTGTAAAAGTTGCACATTAATTAAATATTATATAAAGGAAAGGTATGATTTCGACGTCATAGTTATTTTGTTCATTAAAACAGACAAGACGCACTCACAGTAGGCTGCCCAGATCACAGTAGGTTCCCCAGATCACAGTAGGTTCCCCAGATCACAGTAGGCTGCCCAGATCACAGTAGGCTCCCCAGATCACAGTAGTCTGCCCAGATCACAGTAGGCAGCCCAGATCACAGTAGGCTGCCCAGATCACAGTAGGCCACCCAGATCACAGTAGGCGGCCCAGATCACAGTAGGCCACCCAGATCACAGTAGGCTGCCCAGATCACAGTAGGCTGCCCAGATCACCAGTAGGCTGCCCAGATCACAGTAGGCTGCCCAGATCACAGTAGGCTGCCCAGATCACAGTAGGCTGCCAGATCACAGTAGGCTGCCCAGATCACAGTAGGCTGCCCAGATCACAGTAGGCTGCCCAGATCACAGTAGGCTGCCCAGATCACAGTAGGCTGCCCAGATCACAGTAGGCTGCCCAGATCACAGTAGGCTGCCCAGATCACAGTCAACACACATTTTATAGTAAGAATAGAATAAAATAGAAATAATATTTTTCCCACCCAACTTGCGTCACGGCAACGTGTGGAACCGCTACCTTATAAATTTTTTTTTTTTAATTTGATATTTTGAAACAGAGCCCAAGCCCATGCTTTTTTTGATCCACGTTCCTACCCTCACTCTGCTTTCTAGTATAATAATGTATGCACTCACTAACTGTAAGTCGCTCTGGATACGAGCGTCTGCTAAATGACTAAAATCTAAATGTTAAATGTAGTTGCCTATACACGACCGAGCAAAATAAAAAGGGCTCCTCTTGATTTAGGCTACATTACTGCACGCTAAATGTTTCTGATCAGTAATCGATGACCAAACTAATATATGAGCTATACCACCTCCAGTAATTTGCCCAGCCAGAGAATTAGCCAAATAAAGCCTACAGACGGAGACTCCTACAGACAAAATCACATTGATTGATTAAGACAAGTCACATGCTTTTGGTCGGGAGTAGGCCTAGGCCCACTTGTTAAACTACATAACATGCTGTCAAAATGTTCTGATCAGTGCTAATAAATGAGCCAACTAGACAAGATTATCATGAGCAGCTAACATTTCCACAGGCTAATTGTAGCCTAACCAATATCCATACGGAGATTCAGTGAAAAGAAAAATCCCCACGTTTGTCTCAAAGCAGTGCGGAACATTGCTGAAATAGTGACTTCACGCAGGTAGGCTAATGCTTTAAATGCATTATAAACAAATTGGATGACTTTGGGAGATTCAGGAAGCAACAATTTGATGTCTTCAAATCGCATTAGACTACTTTATTTCAACAGTTTCATCATTCAGTGATATTTATTCCCACAGTCATTCTTTATGGATACATCCAGTTAGTGGTTAGAAAACAGTGCATGTGGTGGGTTATGTGAAGAGACGGGTGAAGTGACATGCCTCACAAAGTTTAGAACTGGCAGAAAGTTTAGAACTGCCAGGAGGATCCTCGTAAAGGCCGCTGTCTAGAATCACCAAGAGCTTAAGAGGGTAGTGCGTACTCCCTCAAATCCTTTAGAGAAAATATCCTTTCTATTTTATTCAGCTTTGTTCAATTGTATTCTTCATCCTATAAAATAATGCCATGGAATTCTAAGCAATCTTGTCTGCTAAATGAACTGGTGTAGCCCACAGCCATATGGCATAGCCAGATCAGGACCTAACATAAGGACAACTCAGAGTATGCTATTCTGTTCTTCTGAAATAGAATACATTTTCTTCATATCATGTTTCTTTAGACCTGTGTAAAATAAATAATGGATTTATTGTAATGGTTGTAGGCTATATAACATGGATTTATTAGACTTTCTAAAAATGTAGATGTTCCAAAGGTCTGCACCAGTGGCTTGTAGGCTATGTGTGGAAGCCAGGAGATGCTAAATGTGTTTGTTTTAATTAACGGTCAATTACCGTGAGGACAGACAGTTATTTGCTTGACGATCACCGGCTGACGAAATTACGTGATAGTCAACGTACTTTCAAAATCTTAGCTAGCAAGTCATCATCATGAATCACGTTGACAATCTACTGGCAAATCCTTTTCAATCCTTGTCATATGAAGAGAAATTATAGATCAAACGTATCGGTGCTCATCAGCCATTGGACATAAACATTACACAAGTTGGAAATCGCAAATTCAACAATGAGTGGTTTGGAAGGAATCAGTGGCTAACTCCAAGCATTGCAAAGCAATCACTAGCCTGCTATTCAGTGGAGTGGCTGTGTGGTCCCAAGTCTGGGTTTAAGGGTCTCTTTTCCAAGCTTAAAAGGATAAACATTCAACACCACGGGCCAGAAAAGGTTGAATACATTGGCCATGCTGTCAATCCAGCATGACTTCTGCTGCTTTCAAAACAACTGGAAACCCAGAACCGGGAAATCTCAGACTTCAGTGAGTTCAAGACAACTCAGAAAGAAACTAGCTCCGACTGGGAAAATAAGTTTTGAACGGTCATCCAACTCGGAATTCCAAGTCGGGAACTCGGGCCTCTTTCTAGAGCTCCGACCTGAAGATCACTGACGTCATGATTCAACCTTGTTTTTTCCCCCAGAGTTTCCCGTTGTCTTGAAAGCAAGGTACCCTGAAACTGTGTGAAATGTGTTAGAATGTGTGAGTGTAGGACCAGTAAAGACTATGACATTGAGCTACTATTTAGCAACGTGAGTAAGAGTTAGGCCAGACAACAAAGGACAAGGAGAACTGGCTACAGACAACTGAGAAACCAAGATAAAGGGGCCTCCCAGTTTAGGGAGGAGAGAAACTGTTAGGCTTTTTAAGGAGTATGCAGGATATTGTGAGGACGGCGATAACTAAGGAATGCATGTGTGTGTGTGTGTGTATGTATGTATGTGTGTATACATGTGTGTGTGTGTGTGTGTGTGTGTGTGTACTGATGGTTAGGAGAGCAGATTTAAAGTGGAAAACTACAGCCCGCCTAAAGAGGGGAGGGATTTTTGTATGACGTGTGAGTATAAAAGATGGACTCTGAAATTGTGATGGCAGAATTCTCAAAATCTCTGACTATGCAGACCGAGACTCTGTCCGTTTCTTAAATCCAAAAGACTTACAACCTTTTGGGAGACACACAGAGACACTGAAATAGTTTGTTAAATAATTCACATAACAGCTTGGTCCTTCGAGCACGGAATCCAATACCTGCCTCTGTCATTCCAGGTATACGTGTGAGACCTAATATTTGCTCAAAAGTCACATCTATGAATAATTCCAGGTGGTTGTATAGAGAAGAGGGAGAACCCATTCCTGTTGTATGAGACTGTCAGGAATTATCAAGATTACATTGTGAGGATGAATTCCTCCGTAGAGTAGGAGATAATTCTGGGGGACTAGTACCTATACAGGAAGGGGTGATTCCAATTGCTGTGTGAAACTGTTTTGAATAACTTGTTATATAGAAGAGGTGGCTAAGGGATTTTTAACAGTACCAACCATGGGAGGCAAATCCTCACAAGAGGTCCCAGAATTTACTGGGGACGAGAAATACATGGAAATTAGAGACAAACGAAATGTGTATTATTTACCTAATTGAAAAAAAGAAAAGAAAATGGCTTTACTGGGCGACATGATTAAACAAATGCATGGAAATTGTGGTACTGATCTCAATTAAACAGAAAAGAGAGGAACAGGAGAATTCAGAGCTAAGCTCAGGAGGGAGTCAGTATGAGTCAGGAGATGAGAGAGTAGGAGGGGGCCAGTACCCACTGATAGCCTTACCTAATCTATTGGCGGGGAACGAAAGGGGCCCCAGCAACTTTAGATGTATACAGGCCATGAACACAGAGGAACGTGGCCAGAGCGGTAGAAGGAATGACCTACCCCAAAACAGGAATAGTAAGGATTGGGCTGCCGTTAGAGGGCAGTGGGTTTCAGGGGATGCCCAGAGGGCACTTTTGCCATGGGCCGATCACGGAGAGTATGTTGGGAAAATAACTGAATTGTGTAATAGCCTCAGAGAACATTACCATCGTCATGCAGACTTCTCTAAAGTACATGAGTGTAAACAAGAGGATAGTGAGACTGTCAGCCAGTACTTAGAGAGGCTTAAAGATGTGTTTAAACGCAAACAGTGGCATACCCGAGCCAGACCAGAGACAGGGGAATGATACGCCCTACCATCAGCAATTTAAAATATACCGTTCCTCAGTGGAATGAGACCAGAGAT